TGTATTAGTATAAAGTCAGTTTTATGTGAAACATTAATGTATCTAGTGCAACTAATGCCATGTTAGAAACTACTGAGAGAAAGGAAGTTTATTATTATTATTTTTGGCGATAAATCCAGTAATTGATGAATTCAATATAACTTGATATTAATGTTAATATGCTTCTCCAAATAAGTTCGAAATGACTTCCATATGTAATTTTTTATTCGTGAGAAGTTCTGAGGAGGAACAAACATAAATATCTGTCTTTTCCTTTCATTCTGACTCATATTAAAATAAAAAAAAAATTTAAAAAAATGCTGCAAACTTTTAGAACACGTTTTCGCCCTCTTGTTGATCTTATAATGTTGTCATTGTTTGTTGTTTCCATTGTGGTATCGATTATTAAGATATGTAATGAAAAATCTGCTATTGGTATATCCTATGGCTCGACAGATAAACTAATTGCACCAGGTAAAATATTTATTTGAATTAAAAAAAACAAATGATAAATGTTTTCTAACATCAAACTACATGAATAAATGTAGCCTTCTATTTTGCTTATGATAAAAGTTTTACCATAAGTTGTCTATTCTTGAATTTTAATGGTGATGGTAAGTAGAATATTGTTATTATTATTATTATTATTATTATATTATGTATACACATCTGATTCAAATGTTCAAAAAAAAGTGATAGCTTCTTGTAATGAATATATTACACAGCCAGTAATGCCACCAAATATTCATGACTCTTCTCGTCCTTTACTTGGAACCTTTTTACCAAAAGGCAATCTGAGTTTGGATGGAACAGGTTATATTAAGCTTTTAATAAACATCACAGATCCTGCTACTACTGGACATTGGACCATGGCAATGAATTTATTTGATTCAAGCAAGTTTTTTCATAAAATTCATGGTAGATTTTGGTTACATTTGTCTTTTTTGATAATAATAATAGCATGGCAAATAAATAGGATACGATCCATGGAGTGAAGATTTTTCTGGTGATACATTTGCTAAAACACTTGATTATATGAATTTATATTATTTATCTAGAAAAACAGTATGTGCACTTTAGATCATCATCTTAAAATGAGATAAATTTGCTAAACTGACAATATTCTGTTAACAAAAAACCAATAGTATTATAGTTTAACGTTCTCTAGCAAAATTAGAAATAAGATAACTCAACCAGCTTTAGCTTATATTGGTTTAGAATCGGATTACTTTCCGCAATATTACATTGAATCACAATTACGTAAGAATATTTCCTTATTGCATTTTTAACCCTTTTAAATGCTGATGTTGCTTGTATTTAATAACCACAGAGTTTACATCATTGAAAGATCGTCCGGAATATAATCTGGCTGTAGAGATTAATATAGCAGGTTTTGTGATAGAAGAGGAAACAGAGCAAAGGTAAAAATTTCCCATTTGGCTATTGTCTATTGTGTCAACATATTTAAATTTCACATTTGCAACTTTACAAATGATAATAGGAGCAATACTGTAAGTAAATAATATTTAAATATTGTTTTGGAGAATAATTATTATTATATTCATCCATCATTTGGATAAATAGGTTATAACCACAGTAGGAAGTCTTTTTGGTTATTATGGCATGATTGCATATTTTTATAAAATTTTATTTGGTAAGTTTACTTTTCTTTTTTTTTAGTTGAAACATTGTGTTCCATAATTTGCTCACTTATTTCAATAATTTTTTAGGAAGTAGGTTAATGGATTCTGCACGTGAATACACATTTTTGCTGGCAACGTTTTTATATTTGGCTTACTCCATGTTCAAAAGGAAAATTATTGGCACCAGCAGCAGTGATAAAGCAGTATTTTTTATTTAGATCTAATGCAAATTAAAGATTAAAACATCATATTAGTGGAAGATAAATAATTCATCTCTCGCTATTTCTATATTTAATCATCTATTTAAATTGAAACAAACCAAAAAAAAAATTTTTTTGAATTTAAAATATCCCATACTTATTTAAAAATATCTACAATGTAAATGTAATATCTAAGATACGTTTGTATTCTTGTTCATGTAATATAATATAAATTCTAAAATAACAAGGCTGTGCTAAGTTTTAGATTAAATGATAATGCAGGTTTTGCAAACAATACTATTGTCCTCCACTTCTACTTCTCAAGAGTAGATTAATTTTACTCGAAAAATTACCCTTCAAATCCATGTAATAATAATGAATGAATAAATAAAATAAACAAGTTTACGAACAAAAACGCAAACGTGTATTACATGAGTAATATTTATTATTATTATTATTATTATTATTACTACTAACATAGAGATATTTCTTTCGGATCATTCCGGTGTAAAGAATTAGACCTTCTATATTCAACTACACCCTACACAAAGTTTAGATACTTGAAATGCACTTAAAATATACATCATATACTTAAAATATACTTAAAATATACTGATGGAAGAGAACAAGAACATCTTAAGTGAGTTTTAAGTATGATTTAAGTATATGAAATTATACTCAAAACACACTTAAAATATACTATATACTTAAAATATACTTAAAACATACTTTTGATGGTAAACTAGCATACTTGAAATACACTTAAAATACACTTAAAAAGTTACTTAAAACATACTTAATTTTGTTCATTATTAAAAAAGGTATGTTTTAAGCACATTTTAAGCACCTTCAAGTAGATTTTAAGTATGTTTTAAATACAATTTAAGCACCTAAACTTTTTGTAGGGACATAGGCAACCCGTTAATCCGAAAACCCCGTTAAAATGAATAACTTTTAAAACACCAAAGCCAAACATATGTAAATTGCCCCGTTAATATGAATGTCACTAATAAAACTTTATAAACCGTAAACCGATGAAATTTTTACATTTTTTGAAGCCATTTATATGTAAAATTGCCCCGTTAATCCGAATTTTTATAAAATAAATATAAAATTTTGGTGGATACGAAACTCTGATTGGCTAATTTGAATATGTGAATTGCAAATTTCATTTTCACGCCAACATGTACAAAAATTAATAACCAGGGTAGATTTTCCCCTAGTGCAAGCAACAAGAAAAAAAAAATCTACTGAAAAAGAAGTTGGGGTATCAAAAAGAAAACATACGCCTATAACAATCTCACAAAAAATATAAAATATGCATTGAAAAAAATAAAGACCCAAACATTAAAAATAACCAGCTTGCATCTAAATATAATGTCTGCGAATCTACTGTTTCTGAAATTCTAAAAAAGAGTGATTATTTTTTATCATTGAATCCAAATCAATTCACTACCAGAAAATGGATAAAGGAAATTCTAAATCCTAAATTTTTAAATTTATTGCCCCGTTTATCCGAATTAATTATAATTATAGATAAGTAATTTCTTACTCTATCTTTTATTGAAATTAAAATAGCCAATCAGAAATTTGTATCCAAATACCCCCCAAAATTTAATCCAATAAACAAGGGTTTCTTTCAACTGTTTGATCAATATTTCAGGCAATGATTCAAGTTCAGGATGCTGATGATGAAATTATTATGTACTGACTGAAAATCCACGTAATGACTTGAAAATTTTTTTTCCACAACTTCCATGATATTCATGGCATTAGAATTTCCAGAACATATAGACATTATAAATTCCTACAATAAAAAGTGAAATTGAAAAATAATATTTCTTATTTCGAACATTAATTATCAAATTGGTACGAAAAAAAAGACAAATTCCAAAAATCCGCCCATATGAATTATTTTATTAATGATTAAAAAAGTTGACAAAACAAATGATTGAAAAATATTTTTGATGAATGAGAAAATGCTTTTATATACATGAAATAATTATAATATGTTATTCTATTTTTTTTATAATAATAATAAATATTAAATTAAATTAATAATAAAAATAATGTCTAATAAAAAAAAAAAAGGGATTATTCCTAAAAAATCAATAAAAAAAAATCAATAAAATTAATCCTTTTTTATATATTTAAAACAATATATATATATATATATATATATATATACTTACTTTTGAAGAATTGGATGTTTCATCACTTTGTTTTTGCGCCAATAATTTTGCTAACTTTTCTTTAGCTCTTCTGAATCCTGTATGAGCAGCCTTTTGACACCAATATATTGCTTGATCTAAATCTTTTGGTACACCTGTGCCAGCTTCATAAAAAGCTGCTAAATTATACTGTCCTTCTTTGAACCCTGCTTCTGCAGTTCTATTGTATATTTCAAATGCTTTCTTCAAATTCTTTCTAACTCCTTTCCCAAGTTCATAACATGTTCCAATATTACATAAACCCTCAAGGTTTCCCCTTTTCGCAGATCTACTAAACCATTCAAATGCTTTATCAGAATCCCTCAATGTGCCTATTCCATCTCGATAGCAATATCCTAGTTCGTTTTCTCCTGCCGCACTCCCATAAAATGCAGCCTTTCTATACCAGAAAAATGTTAACTTGTCACTTCTTGATGTACCATAGCCAAATTGATAACATTTTGCGAGATAAAATTGTGCAATCGGGATTGCATTTTTTGCTCCTGCTAGAAATAAATCAAATGCTTTTTCGTCATCTTCACCAGTTCCAATAGCCGCATAGTAAAAGTAACCTAGAAGACTCTTATAGTGTGGCCTTCTTTTACCCTTTATCAAAAAATAAATTATATCAAATGGTTCATAGCTGTTATTTTTTATATGCTCATTCATCAATTTATTTATTTCGTAAAACTCTTTGCCATCGTCTGTTGATTGAACTAGCATATTATATAATTCATCAATAAATTTTTTAGGAACAAATTTTCCTTTTCTTCTTACTGGAGTTTGAGCTATATCATCGATGGTCCCATTGGAATTAATCTGAGTTTCAGATATCCATGATGATTTAGATTTTGAAGAACTTTTGATTGTTAAGGCACTTTCAGTTCTTTGAATAATAATTTGTGACAAATCTGTTTCATTTTTTGGTAAGGGTTGTATCGTTAATGTAAAATCTGGTATTTTAGGCGGTGAAGTACTTTTTAATCGTGGAAAGTCAGGCCTGGTAGGTATATCAGATTTTTTAATAGATATTCTCCTTGATAATTTTGGTGGTGTATAAATATCTCCTTTAGAGGAATCGTCAGATTTAGCTGATGAAATGCTTATTCTCCTACTCTTTACTGATTTTGTAGAAGGAGGATTAGGCTTTGTTGGTGCAGGGGGCTCAAGTTTATCTTTAAAATTTTTTACAGAATTTCCTAAACCAAGAAGTAGTGATGAATCGGTATTCTGTGTCGCTGTATCTTCTTTTTGTTGAAATTCAGAAATGGGGTTTAATTTATTCGCTGTTGTTGTTTCTTTATCTGACTTTGGAGTTGAAGAGCCATTAACCAACGAAAAATCTTTATTTAATTTATTCATTGACTGATTTCCTAACGGGACTTTCTCTGTTTTGTCGTTTGCACTATTGTTTTCCAAGTCTGACTTAAGTTTAGCAATAGAAGAACTATTAACGATAGGTTCTTTGATGAGTTTTGGAATTGTGCTATTGCTGTCGTTATTTAATGATAATGAAAGTCTTTTTTTAATAATTGATATACCACCATTATTTGATGATGAAGTGTTTTTAATTTCTTTTGTAACAACATTGTCAATAGGATTGATAGGATTAGGATTTTGTTTTTTATTTAGTGATGGTGACTCTTCTTTATTTACTTTTTTCTCATCAGAACCAATTTTCACTTCTTCGGTTTTTAAGATCTTTTGGTTTAAACCATTGGCCAAGGATTCGACTTTTTTAGAAGGAGTTGAAGGAACATTCTTTGATGGCTCTGATGTAAGTTTATCGGGCTCTGATTTTTTAGTCATCATGGCTATTGTAGTTGTTACTTTAGAATTAATGTTTTCAGATTCTTTATCTGGCAGTTTTTCAGGTAATGGCTTTTGAATTTCCTTTTTGGGGATTTCAAGTTTATTTTCCAGTTTAGAAATAAAATCATATTTTTTAGAATCAATTACATGATTATCAATAGTTTCAGTCGTTTTCGTAGATATTGGCTCTTCAACAAAAACTTGAATTTGTTCTTTTTCAAACATTGGTGGTTCATTATTTTTAGATTTAAAGCTTGTGGTGGTGACATCTGGTTCAATTGAAACCCCGGGATTTATTTCGGACGGTCCTGAAGTTGGTTGTGTAGGAGTGTTGAGCGTAGTTGAAGCAGTGGTGGTGGTTGTGGTTGAATCAATCAACAACGGATCCAAGTTTGAAGGTTTAGGTCTAAAAATCGATGGCTCAGTGGTATGTGTTAAAGCCAATTGTCCCAGCATACTTCGGAGTGAATTAATATCAGTACCGATACTTAATCGATTCTTAATGTCTAAGTCTCGAGCAAGATAATTTTGATCATGCATAGATGTTTTCTTTTTAATTTCTAGAGCTTTAAGTGCAAATACTGTTTGTTGAATTTCTGCTCTTTTGGCTGGATCATCTTGCCAACATTCTGTTTTAAAAAATTATAATTAATATTTATTCTAATATATGTCTGTATGTATATATATATATATATTCAAATAATATAAACAACTTACTAATATAAACTTCAACAAATTTTCCAGGTGTACCAGGAACGGGTTTCTCTCTAAGACCTCTTGAAATTTCTGATATTAAATTTAAATCTTTATCCACTTGAATACGATTAGAAAATGGAGGCGAATCACTTGTTAATTCCCATAAAATAAATCCTAAGCTATAAATATCTGATTTCATATTCATTCTGAATTGACGTGGTTTATTTTTATCATCTTGTACTTTGAAACATTGAGGATCAATATAAGGAACTAATGAATTATCAACATTTGTTGTAGTATTAAAATTAGTTAATCGCCTTGAAATTCCATGATCTGTTACTCTTATATTGTCATCAAGTACTAATATGTTGTAAGGGTGCTTATTTTTTTTATAAATAAAAAAAAAATTTTTAAATTAATTTATTTTAGAGAAAAAGGAAGGACCAAGAAAACTAAAATGAAAATAAAAATTTTCTATTACAAGTCCACCATGCACTATATTCTTTTCGTGTAAAAATTGTACAGCTCCGGTTATTTGTAAAGAGAAATTTAATCTTATATGCCAATCAAAAGTTTGAACCCGATCCTTTAAATATTGACGTAATGTTCCACCATTCGCACATTCAAGAATTAGAAGATATTTTGATGTGTTTTCTTCATCTTTATCTATTTAAAAATAAAATAGTAAATTTTTACCAAATGTCATAAATAAAAATATATGATATATATTATGTAAACAAGCGCCTACTTTCTATTTTGGTCAGACCATATAATCGAATAAAATTTGCATGTTCACAATTCAATGCCTTTAACTACAAAAATAAAGAATTAAATGATTAATTTTTCAAAGAAAAAATGGTTGCGACAAAAATAAAACTTGGATCTAAATAGTTCGACAATTACATCTTTAATAACTTGTTTTGCATTTTGGTTATAATTTCCAAAACTCTTTATTACGACCACTTTGTCAGAGGTTTTCCAGTTAGCCCGATAGACATTACCAAATGAACCATCAGCGATTTCCTTAACGTCATCAAATTCTTCATATGGATAAAACCCCACTTTTTCATCAATTAAACGTTTATCCCATGCTTCTCCCCACGTACTCATATCCTTTATTTGCCTTGCGGCCGGTAGTGAAAACATTTTATAAATTATTATATATTAATTTTGTTTGATTATTTTTTTTTTTTTAATAATTATAATTATAAAAAAAAAATAAAAAATAAGGAAAGTGGTATTTATATAAATAATTTAATAATGATCCTCCTTTATAAAAAGAAAAATATTTCACTCCTTTATTAAAAGTTGTTTATTTATATATAGTTAATGTCACTATGTTTCATTTTTAAATAAAATCGGTGTAATCAAAAAATACCAATTTCAGTAATTGAACTTTCTGCGCCACAACAACAAAATTTGCAATAATTGTTGGGAATTTTATGCAGGTTTTGATTTTTTTTTCATTTTCATTTAAAAAAAAAGATCAAAGATTAACGAATTGTCACGCGACTATAAAAAATTTGTTATCATTTCAACTTATTTTGGTTTTCTTTTTAAAAAAATAAATAAATCATCTAAATTATCACGATATATAATACATTTTATGAAAGTATTTGTAATGGGACAGTTGGAATAGTAACAAAAACTCATAGATGATGAGAATGTCGAGGTTACCTTTCCAATATTCGACAGCATAGTCAAAAGAGCTTACAGAAAACAAACCCGCTCCAAATCCTTTCTCATTGACATTGATTGACAGTTCACAAAACACAGGGGTTGTTGACCCTATCTTTTCTACCGATGAAAAGATATTTGCCAAAGGCCAAGCATACGTAGCATTCAGCAGCGCAAGCAATATCCTTGGAAACTTTGTTATAAGATGTAGTTTATTTAAATGTACACACTCTCTCTATGAGCATAGTGAGAGTTTGTTGTTACATGAAACGTTATACAGAACCCATTGCTTCTGAAACTTCGCCAGTATATAGTTGTTACCTTTCTAAATTGGGAATCAAGTTCAGACCCAATTCAAATCCAGTTTATCACTTACTTTTTATTGCCAGAATGTTTGCCGTGTATTGTAAAGCTATGTTTCACAATATAAAAAATTAGTGTAACATTTCAAATTTCCATTATGCTCTTTCTATGCCAGTCCCATTTATAAATAAAACCCGTGACTGTCACGTGATTGTCACACTTTTGAAAATACATTCCATTTTTTATCATGTAACAGTACAACAAATGATTAATTCTTTCTTTTTAATTAATAGAATAACAGAATGACAGAATGACAGAATAAGAGTGTAAGAGAGTAAGAATACAGGTGATAAAATACTTATATTTTTGATGGTTGGAATTATTATATATATAACAGATAAAATTAAGAGTTTCAATAACTAACTAATTAATAAATTAAATATTTATCTCGACTATAATTGTTCTTAATTCATGCTTATACTAATTTCCAAAAATGTAATTTGCTGAAATATGCTGGATGGATTGACCAAAAACGGGTTACAGTTCAAGAATCAACAACAGCCAGATTTCTAAAGAAGTACTTGACACGGGAAATTGCTAATTCAGAAGCAAAAGGTCATGAATATGCAACTAACCTTGAACTCAAAAGAATTTAAAAATTTTTTTTATTAGTGTCACATGCAACCAATAAAATACTTTTGTCCTTTAAAAAATTAATTTCTGCGCATAAAACATTGTATTACAATGATAGCAATTTGAACTAATATAAAGTTGTATAATAACTATGGTTGGCTCGGTCTAAAGACCTCCTATTGCTGCGCCACGCGGCCAAATTTCAATTTTGTAATTTGTTCAAAAATGTAAAACTAAAGACATATTCTATCAACTAATAGAGCTATTTTTTTAAAAGGTAGGACAGAAAATGACTTCTATACTTTTAAAATTTGCCCAAAATTTAGAAGGTCTTTAGACCAAGCCAACTATAGCAATTGGCAATAGCAAACAATAGCAGGCGACTACCACCACACACACTATTTACATACAAAAAGAAAATTTCATTGGTGGTGTTTGATTGTCAACTATGGTGCTATCACTATTATTATTGTCTGAGACAACCTGCACTATATCTTATATATCTAGAAAATTGTCATCATCATATCATGAATAACATAATAGGATGATGCTAAGGTGCTTTGTATCCAATGCTAATTTTGATGCTCCGAACTAATGTTGTTTGATGAAATGTTGCCACAATTGTAATTGTAAAACTATTACGTCAAATTCGCTGGCATTAAGTCAAGTGAATTGCTTTAAAGGCTAATAAATTATAAAAGCTCGCAAATCTCCTTTGTTTCATTAGTTGTTCCCAAGGAGCCAAGTTTTTCTTTTGCTGAATACAAAAGTTCAATTCCCATACACTCATTTACTACTAAACTCGAACATCTCTTATATTAATAACGTGATACATGATCGGAGTAGATAAAACCGTCAACTAATTTCAGTATATAATTGTTATGAAAATTTTATGTCAACTTTTATAATTATTATCAAATTGCTATGCAAATAACCATGAAGATTGATTAAATTACTTTGCAATAAAAGACCCATCTTTGTCCTTATCCTTATTGTAAGTGATCAACGAAAATTTCATTAAGGATAACTTTTGGTCTTCTCTTGAAAAAGTTACTTGCAGAGATAATTAACATTCTAATAAATTAAAACTCTGATAATCATTATTTAATAAACTTTTAAAAATAAAAATAAAAACATTGTCTTTATTTACTTTGTTTAAAGCACTTTGATAAAGTGTAGTTGGTACCTTGGTAAAAAGTAACAATCATGGAAAAGCCACGTTTTATTTACTTTAGGGAGCAAGCAAGCAAGGTTAGGGTTAACTTTGATTAACTAGTGAATGCTAACAACGATTAGTAACGTAATTTGCTTTAGTGAGTAAGCAAAAGTTTGGACTAATGTTGGTTAACTAGTAGATGTTAATGAAGTAGTATCATTTTAGTCGTAAATGCAAGGCTGTTAAACAAGCTACTTAAGTTGTTTTGCAAGTAGAGTTTAAAATTGATCAATAAATGTAAACAAGGACAAACAACTGAAACAGATCGATCATAAATGTATAAAAGGAACCTTATATCATTGCAAAAGAGCATCTTTACTTATTTACAGTAATCTAATACCATCAAGTGTGCTCCGAAATGACAATATCACCATTTAACAAGAATCAAAAATTGTAAAAAGTTTATTATTTCAAAATATTGTTACAAGATAAGAAATAAAATAAGGATGAAATAAAAAGAAGATAATAAATTTATAGTGGAGATTAAATTAGTCATTCATCTCATCTTTTCTTTTACTAGAATTTAATGTATTAATTAATATTGTTAGTAATAATAATTAATGAATAGTAATTTTCAATTAATTAATAATAAAATTTTATTTACCTTTAACATTTTAGAAAAAAGAGCCAAAATCAAGATTATTCAACGAACTATCATTACTTGTATAAATTTTCAAGTTTTTAGATTTAGCAATCTCTTCATCTAATATTCTACTTGTATGGTACGCATCTGGATGTGACTTGTGTGCTTGTTGCGAAATGCCACTACTACCACTGCTACCAATAGTATTATTATTGTTGTTATTTTCATGTTTTTTGATTTTAGAAAATTTGAATAATCTTTTTATTAAACTATTGTTTTTTAAACTTTCATTTTTAACAATTTCGTTATGTTTATTTCTAGCAAATGCCCAAAGCTCTGTACTAGTTGGTCTTTTTGATGGATCCACATCACAACACCTCTGCATTATTTGCACATAATCACCAGGCATTCCATGTAGTATTGGTGGTCGTAAACCTTCACATATATCAAAAATCAAACGATGATTGTGAGCTCTATCATCAAATGGTGGACATCCTGCAAATATTTCCCACATTAACATCCCAACACTATAAACATCTGTTTCTTTTGTGTTCCTATTTCTATTAAATAGCTCAGGTGCAAGGTATGGTACAATTCCAAAGATTTTATTTGATAGTTTTTCATCAACTGGACCATTTAACCCTAAATCTGTAATATAACAATTACCTCTGTGAACAAGTATATTACCACTATGTAAATCACAATGGATTAAATCTTTTTCATGTATCCGATATAATGCATAACATAAATCATAAAAGATCGTAATTTTGTCTTTTAATGTTAAATTTAAATGATTTTTTTGTAAATAACCCTTTAAATTTCCATCTGATAAATAATTTAAAACAATTGCATAATTTCCATTATCTGGGAATTTAGTTATACCATAGCAGTGAACAATCAACCCTGATTTAATTTTAGAATAATTCATTGCCTGTAATTGAATATAAAATCAATTAGTATTATATAATACAGTATTGTTTATTTGTTTTAAATGAAAACTACCAACCTCATCAAAAAATGCTTTTCCTGGATCACTTGAATTGTTTAAACTTTTTAATACTACTTTTTGCTTTCCAGAATAATTAAATTCCTTTTTATTTTCATCATAATCAGTTATTCTTCCCCTTGTCCATGTAGCAGTAAAAATTGAACTAAATCCACCTTCTGTCAACTTTATCACTTTTTTAAATTGCTCAAAGGGTATCCATTCTAAAATATAGTTTGGCAGAGATGATTTCATTTGACATTGTTGAATAAAATAATCAATTATGTTATTTCCAGATGTCCAAGTGGTGAAAAGACTCTGTAATTGTAATCTAATACAACCTTCACAGAACCTATCAGAGTATCTTGTCAATTTACACTTGTTACATTTTTTTGGTTTTCCACATTTATATGTTACATTCTGTAATTCAAAATTATAAATAAACCTTTCTTTACAATATTCTTTTTCACTTCCAGAAAGCTCCTCGTTTTTTTTGACTAATGAACAAAAATAATCTTTTCTACTTTCTCTTTCAGAATTGGCATTAGCATCATTACGCATTTCACCATAAATTTTACGTACAAATTCCTTTCTTTCTGTTGATAACGATGATAATAGTTTATTATATGACATTATGTAAAAATATAATATAAAATTCGACTTGGTGTTTTTAATGAATGTGGAGATTTTTTGAGAATAACAGTCCTTTTTAACATAAAAGAAAGGGAAATGTTTCCTGCCGTGTTACT